TTCATTTATTGTTATCTTTTCTATTTTCTCATTTATACCCGTTAGAGGGAATCACGACTGATTGTATGATTCACATCCTTTTGAGCCAGTAATCAATCTTGCTATCATTTGGTTCTAGACATCAGTCGAATCCATTTATTGGATTCAAGTTCCCTCATCCCGTAGCCCGAGCCCGTACAGAAGTTATCTTAGTGAGGACTTATAGAAGTCCTTTACAGATAATGAGCACGGTTAAGGAATGATGGTTGCGGGAGTTGTGTTTCTCTTTTTACTAATTGGGAATAGGTTGCTTGTGACCTGAGAGCTTTTCATTTCATTTTTCTTTTCATTTCATATTCGTACATATGCTAGTTTGTACAAGCAAGTATATATAATGAAACCCTTGTACCACTCAGTTTTCTTTTCCTCATCAAAAAGAAACTGTAAGTGTTTCTCTTGCTATCTTTACTCACAAATCATCATCCTAATTATCTTTTATTTAATTCGATTCTATGACACCATTAGCTTTCTTGTTATCTATTGCTCACACATCATCTCTACCTTTGCGTACAATCCCTGTTGCCTTGAGCACAGGTTTGTTATATCTCTCTTTCTCTTTTTCCTATTTTTCTATCATACTAATGTGTGCTGTGGTCAGGTCTGTCTCTGATTTTTAGTGCTCTTTGAAGCTCTTTGAGGCTTGTGCCGTTACTTACATCAGTACCTGATTACCCCAGGTTAGTATACTACTTATTCATGATCGAAAAGAAACTCTTTCTTATTATCTATTGCTCACACATCATCTCTACCTTTGCGTACGATCCCTGTTGCCTTGAGCACAGGTCTGTCTCTGATTTTCAGTGCTCTTCGAAGCTCTTTGAGGCTTGTGCCGTTACTTACATCAGTACCTGATTACCCCAGGTCTGTCTCTGATTTTTAGTGCTCTTCAAAGCTCTTTGAGGCTTGTGCCGTTACTTACATCAGTACCTGATTACCCCAGGACATTCATCTATAACGGCTTAGCCACTATATTGTTCTCGAGCACTACTCATCTTTACAAAAAGTGATTGGTGGATTGATGTTATCAGACAGATCTCTGTCATCTTTGTCATCAGTGAGACTCTCTTGCTTGGTGAGAGGATTGGATTGGGGATCACCATTGTTGAGATCAATGGGAGTATCTGAGTGAGTCAAGGAGGGTGGAGGGGCTTTTACTTGGTTCTTCCAGTTGGACATGACATGATTGTTCTTTCCAAGTGGTGCCTCTTTCTTTGTCTTACAACTGAATGTTGTTTGTTTTGACTTGATGGTGGGTTTGTCCTTAGTGCTTCCAGGTTAAAATCAAGGCCTCTTGTATCCTTTCATGATTAGTCCTGTTCTAGTTTTTTGCTTTCCAAGAGTAGCTTCAGGTGGACATTTTTGTGTAAAGACAAGGTAGAAGATTTCATTGATAAGTTCTTGATTGACTTCTTCTTTGTCAGATGAATCCGCTATGTCGCTCCAAGCGTAAAGGTGCTTTTCAGAGGGTCTGAGTAATCTTCTTCTTGTTTATAGTTGATATAAATTGGAAGCCAATAAGGCTCAGGAGCTGGATTAGCGGAAGAGGAAGGTGGCAGTCGTGGATTGCGTAAATACATCTGAGCTCTTGAGTTGGATTCAAATTCTACTAATTCCAATTTATCATTGTTAAGTGTCTGGGATGAGTTGACAAGAGGGGAAGAGTTTTGCTATGAGCCGGATACAAGATGAATTTTGATGGGGTTTTCAGATGATTCAAGTGATGAAGGGTTTTCTGATTGAGTTCCAGAGGTTGTCGTATTTATTGCTGTAAGTCTTGTTGTGCTTTGGGTAATCCTGTGTGCTTTGCATTGTTTACTTTGAGCACATGATGCTGGGTTTTTCTTTGGCATTGTTTCAAGTGTGTCTTAAGTCGGGTTTGGTAGGTTTTGAGCGCTTGAAGTTGATAGAATTGAGGTGGGGATCAAAGTCCTGGATTGGTGATTTCAGCGGGACAAATGTCCCAGATGTTCATAGCAGGAAGCCAACAATGTGGGGGCCAATCAACACCAACAGCAGTTGTAGATTGAATTGATTGGTGTGAGAGGGTGATGTGAACAATGACTAAATTGAAAATTCTAATGGGTCAAGGGGAGAATATGTACAAAAAATGTGCACCACATAACACTGGTCACAACTCATCAACATTTTGGACTGGGGCCAACCCAGATCAGGCTGTGGTTTATTCTAGGTGATAGCAACTGTACCATAGCTTACACGGTTTTAAAACCAACAACTCAACCTCAAAACCTCACTACATACAGCTCTTTGCAGTCTTGATGAACTTGCAACAAATGATGAGCAAATATTGAGTTGAAAATTACATTGAATTTATATTAGCCGTGCTCAAAGTTGACCTGGTTACAAAAAACCCGGTTGACCCAGTTGACTTTTTGGCTGTGAGCTGTCAACAAATGTCAACTTGATTCACAAAGTTACCGCCAAAAAGCAACTGGGTCAACTGGGTTTTCTTGAAACTGGGTCAACTTTGAGCACGGCTATGGAATAAATTTTGAATGTGAAAACCAAAAGCGATAATGATCCCATAAGCAGCTTGATTGCCCTATTCTATGATCACCACACCTGTCCTTTTTAGAAAGCAATTCATAAGATATCAGCTCTCCCACCTCAACAATGGTGATTGATGCGTGTGGCGGAAATGGCAATTATTGTCATCCGCAAGTCAAGTAAATGGCTGTCCAATGAATGCTTCAAGGCAGAACTCATCAAGAAATTAATTTACTCAGCGGCTTAAATATATCTTGCTCAACCTTGAAAATATGGAAAACTTTATTTGAAGAAACTGGTGAAGTTATTAGGAACCCAGAGACCTATGAAGTCCTTGGAGGTCCTTGCTTGATTGATTATGATGAGTGCACTTGACTAGCTCATCTGATTAGAACCTATCCAACAACTTATCAGGATGAGTTGGCTTTAGAATTGTTGGAAGAAACTGGAACATCCACCTCCACAGCAACCATTTTGCGCAAGATGAAGAAGCGGCTTGGCTTAACTCAAAACGCCTTCCGGACTATAAATCCAAATCATGATCTGATTGATTGGGGTAATTACATTGAGTTTGTGTCAGAGATACCAGCTGATCAATTGATTTTTCTTGGTGATTTCTGCCACTTCATCTTCCAGAGTTTCATCCTAATATCTCTTACTTTTTGTGTTAGATGAAATGGTATAAATAAGCAAGATATGTATAAACAGATGGGGTGGGCTCCCGTAGGCGAGCAAGCAGATCAAATGGAGAGAATTTTGGTGGGTACACATTTTACAGCTAAGAATGTCTTGGAATCCCTGGTCAAATGATCTGAAAGTGCGCGCTTCAGCACTGAGATCACAACCACCGACAAGAACTTATAAAGATAACTCTGACCTATACAAATGTTCAGATTGATTAGTTAAGCTATCACTATTTGATAGCTGATCTTGGAGCAGATTAAGAGATAAGATTTCTCTTCCCAAAGATGATAATTGTATTCACCTGAAAGTGTGGGCTTCAGCACTGAGATCACAACCACCAACAAGAACTTATAAAGATAACTCTGACCTATAACCACAACAACAAAATTGGAAATGAAGAACTGAGAATAAATGAAACTGAGAATAAAAATTTTTGTACCTATACAAAGGTTTGGATTGATCAGTTAAGCTATCACTATTTGATAGCTGATCTTTCAGCAGATTAAGAGATAAGATCTATTCAATAAAAGAATGCAAACATGAATCAAAATAAAACAACAGTTAACTTAATTGAAGATGTGATAAAAGATGAAATATTACTTACTTCTCTTCCCAAAGATGGGGAAAAGAGAAGTAAGATGAGTTGAGCAATGCAAGCTATAAGTACGCGGATGATTTGATTACATTGGGGTGATTAATGATGTCATTCTCCAATTTCACTGATGATGACATTTCTGGTGTGTCACTTAACACTAAATTTGTAATTCCTCTCTTGATTAATTTTTAATGTACTTGTTCAGGTCAATTGAACACTTCAACAACAGCACTTACAGCTGTCTTGCTTGATGGGTGCTTGGCCCTACAAGTGATGGAAGGAGGGCCTTGGCAAGTCAATTTTGAAGAGTTTCTTTGGGGACAATTGGTGAGTGTTTTACTTGCTTTTTTATCAACCAAGGTGACTGGTTGATCTTTTCAGAAGCCCAGGATGAACCCATGACCGCAGAAGGACTCAGTCTTTGTCATGGATAACTGCCCAATCCACATGGGTCCTGAGACTGGAACCATCTGCTTTGATCAATATGTTATACTTGTCTATCTACCCGCCTATGGCCCTTTTATGAATCCAATTGAGAAGTGTTTTTCTGTCATCAAAAATCACTTCATTCGTTCTCAACAGTTGAATAGAGATGAATTAACCCAGGAAGAAGAGATCAAGCAGATATACATCCAAATCATTTTTTCTGTCACTGTAGAATTGATGATAGAGCTTTATAAGGGATCTGGTTATCTTTGAAATTGAACTCTCATTGTTTCATTCACTGTAGTGAAGACATTTGTTATTCATTTGCTTAAGACACATTGTGAAATGACAGAATTTTTTGACTTTGCATCTCACAGACATTAAATCTTTTGTATTATTTGTATTGTCACTTTTTATAATGAAATTTTCACATGATTAATAGTATACATTTTGAACAAAAAATCACCCTAATTAGACTGGTGATCAGATAATGTTGTCTGTAAATCTTTGCTTCACTGATCAATCCGTGGACTGTCCCAACTTTTAAACCATCATGTTTCAAAGCTTCAATGTTCATAAATTCACCTGCTTTGAAAGCTCTTGAACAAGTTGGTGAGCCAGATTTTTGGGTGAAATTTTGGCATAATTGAGGAAATGTTTGAATGGGGGGTCACAACACCACAGTCATTGAGATCAAATGGTCTGGAAGCTTGTGGGGTGGTGATTATTGCTGCAGTACTTGGTGTTAGATTCATGGAGGTTGATTGAGTTGATGGAAGTTCACTGCCTCCAATCCAAAGAGTTTGGCTTTAGGAGGGGTGAACTTATCAACACTAAAATCCCCCTTGATCCCAAGAATTGTAATGAATTATGAGCCAATTGAAATGATGATATAAATTGGAAACAGCGATAACACTCACAATTGATCTTGCCCAAATTGTGAGAAGAATATTGGTGAGCCGTAATGTCTTTGAAGTGTTGATGGGATCTTGATATATTGCACCGTCACCCGCACCACTATGCTTCACATGAAAGGTTTGAAGCTTGCCTATGACCTGCTGTAATTGCCCTTCAAGTGAAAGCTGCTAAATGTAATTGATCATTGAAAGAATATCAAACACACTTGAGATTCCCTTACCTCAATCTCTAGTGGCCTCTGGGAAGCCCCAGGTTTGGCGGATCCAGGTATATTTTGTTGCATTATCAAGCTTTGAGTCATGCTGGCTTCCTGGAAAGAGAATAGTTTCAGAAACATGATTAGTTGAATATGATGATAAGATGACAAAGGAGAGCTGTTACATTTTGTAAGGCCTTCACAGCAGCACAAGGGTTTTCCATTGTGATACTGATAGAGACCCCGGCTATCTTGGTTTGATTGTTGTTGACAAGTGAATGAAACATAACCCAGCCATCTTCTTGAGTGATATCAACTGTTCAAAGACTCTTTTGATTGTATTTCACACTTCCTACCCACAAGACCAATCCCTTGTTCTTCCCAGTGAGTAAATGGCCAGAAACAAGGGGGAGGAATTGCTCAAGTCTCTGAAGATGAACACACTGGCAGTTGTAGAAGGGGACTTGACAGGTATCATCTCTCTGTCAATACCCAATCCGCACCGCTCCAAATATTGGTTTTGGAGCGGTTTTTGGGTCTGCTGTGACCTCCACATTTGAGAGCGGAGGCTACGCACCACAGCCTCAACCCGGTGTGGTAATCAAAAGTATTTAAGAGACAAATACTTAGGGCCCGTTTGGCTGGAAACCAAATACGGTTTTTGCCCAAATACTCCACCAAAGCCAAAAACCGTATTTGGCCAAATACGGTTTTTGGTTTTTGATAAAAAGACCAGCGTTCGGCAACGGTCTTTGATCAAAACCAAAAACGGTTTTTGATCAAAGAATCTTCAATTTGGAAAAACAGCCCTGACGCTGTTTTTCAGACCCAAAAGAGTTTTTGGGCTCATTTGCCCCTCCATTTCGATTTTTTGTTGACCAATTTGGTCGACTGTTTGGTAAACAAAAAAGCCAAATTTTGAGTTTTTTAAACTGCCCCTTGAAAAAGGGGCAAATCGAAAAATCGTTTCTGTGTAACAATTTTTTCAAAATCTGCCCAAACGGGCCCTTAATTCATTTTTAGTTTTATTTTTTTAGTTTTTTTATTTATTTATTTTATTTATTTCATTTCATTTTATTATTTTATCATTTTATTTTATCATATTTCATTTTATTTCATTTTATTTTTATATGTTACATGTTGATTTTTGAGTGTAATGGTTATGTGTAGGGGGTGTAGTGTAAAATGAAGCAAAAAGTGCAAATTATGGGTTTAGAACTTATGTGTAGTTGAGTGATGTATGGGTTATGGGGAGTATACAAGTTTCAAGTTGAAATTTCGAATTTTATGGGTTTTGATAGTCATGGCTAAAGATATGTATGGGTTTAATGTGTTGTGTAGAGGAATCATGGTTTTGAGGTATGGGTTTAAATAAGGCTAAATTTTGAAAATCCAACAACTCAGACAGATGGTGGTAAACTGGGGTGGTAAACTGAAAAAGCAAGCAGGGATCACTTTGAAAGATGGATTCATGGGATTATCAAACACCAGCATTGGCAAATTAAACATTACATATGAAAAGGGTGGATTTGAAACTTGAAAATCACTTTCAAAATCATAAAAAGTGCTATTTTCAATCATTCAACTTTGATTTTAGGGTACCACAGCATCTTTTCAGCCTAGAAGTAAGTTGGGGAGGGTTATATTTTCGCATATGAACATGAAAAATCAATTATAAACCATATACATCATCATCAGTGGTAATACCAAGTGGTAAACTGGGTAACTTCAATTTTGATTATTTTCACATAAAATCGAATTTCATTTTAAGAGTACAACCAATAGAGTTAGAGTTTGGCTTGGCTGAGAAAAGTTGTAGAGCGGAAGCAGAACTTTTTTTCTGTCCATTCAGCATTTTGATACAGTCCCTCTTTCGTATCTTTTTTTAGGTTTCAAGGGTAAATTGGTGGATTTTCCAGTTTTTGTGGTAAACAGCTCAGTTTTAATGATAAATGTGTGCTTGAAAATGTGTCAATGATACATGTGGGTGGTTTGAAGATGTTCATCAATTTTAATTTGGGGGTTGTTCAATGATTTGTGTGTGAAAAAGTTGTTTGAAGGTGGATTTTGAGTTTGGGGGGTGTTTTTTGTCCTACTTTCTTTTGTTTGTGTGTGTTTCAATTTTGATATAGTCAAGTGTCTCTTTCCCTACCTTTGGTAGCCTTTTTGTTAGCGAAAATAGTTACTAGAATTTTAGAATAAGCTTGTATCTTTTATTATCATCATTCAGGTAAACAACTAATGAGAGTTGGAATTTTATAATAATAAGACCCTTATTCATCTTTTAATTAATTTCTTGTTGAGTTGTAAGCTCATTTGCTCATTTGGAAGGTGCCTGAGTGCGCCTAGATAGTGCTACTTTTGATTTTATATTTGTCCTATTTCAGCCTGGTTTTTATTAATCCAAAGACTTGTAGGTCTTAAATTTAATTCATTGATAATCAAAGTCCCTGTTTTAAGAAGGGCATTTCTTTCTTGTTTGAAGTCTTTCAATTCACCATCTCAAGACTTATTCCTCTTTTGATTGTGTCTTCATTCCTCCCCTTCTTGGTTCTGCTTTCAGCTGTGTACTGAAAGAGTTCTACACCGGTTTCCTCCATAGCGGAGGCACCAAAACGCAATGGGCCGGGGCCTCAGGTTCTCCGCTATGTATTGGAGTGATACAGGCATGGGTGGAGGGTATGTATCAGACTCACCCCACCCCTTTCAACTTGTGGCTCAACTCTCTAGATCCAATCAACACCGCCTCACTCCATCTTGGATCAATTCAACCAATGGAACACCCCTGGATGATGCTTGGAGGGCTCACCTGTGGTCCATTTGACTCCCGAATGCTGGTATGTATAATGAAATGGTAAGTACCGTTTGATTTTGAAATCATATCTAAGAAATACAAAACTTACCAATATTGTTTCCTTCTTTGAATTCCATTCTTATCTTTTTCTCATCCAATTTTTCATTCAATCAATACCCAAACCGCCTGATCAATGGCTATCCCCAAAACCCCCTCCCAATCCCAATCTTCATCAAAAAGTACTGGGCTTCAAGTACCAAAAGCATTGAGTACAGACCACCAAGCACCTCTTGACCACCATCACCAGGCTTTGTGGCTACACCCACAGACTCTCGTACCTCTCTTACTCTTCCTTCTGATGACAGCAAAAGCTCAACTGGTCCTCTTGCCAATTGTTCTGCATCACCTCAACCCCCAGCTCTTACCACAGAGAAGAAGACGAGCAATGAAGCCTCAGATGCTGCCAAACCAACTGGAAAAGGCAAAGTAAGCTTTGTATTTCTCACGATAGACTAATAAAGAAACTTACTTGTTTCAAACTGTTTTATTTTTCTAGGCTTGCTTGGCAACTAGCAAACAAGCCATATCACTATCAGGAAGTTCAAAGGGTTGCTCACCATCACCCCAACCAACCAAGAAATCAAAAGATGTAAGTGAATCCAATTATTTTCTTTTAGCCTCTCACTACAGACAATTACTTGGTAGCAGAACATATTCCATTATAGGCGGCCTATGAGGTACCTGAAGACGTTGAGTTGTCCCAAGAATCTGATATTGAGATTGTTGGGACCAGCAAACTGGGCTACATGGAGGTGCAAAGTTCTTGTGCGAGAGAACTGCTTACTTTCTATGAGCCTCCTAAAGTAAGCCATGTATTCTTTTTTTCATATCTTGTTCCGTATCTGAATTTCATCCCTGTCTGATTTCTTTTGTGACATCAATTACAATTATATCTTTTGGAGATGACTTTTTTTCTTTTGTGAGAAAGTCTGATATATACCCATTGAAACATTTGTTGTATAGTTGAGCCTCACTTGTCTCAAAGCCATCCAGCCTGAAGACATGAAAAGAGCATGGTGAAGATTGTTTTTTATTAGTCACGAGTGATTTGATTATTAGGATTAATTGATGGAGTAAGATCTATATATTGAAACAAATGAGAAAGAAATAAGATAAAAGAGATCTATATATTGAAACAGATGAGAAAGAAATAAGATAAAAGTATAAACAACCATATATACAATAGACGTGAAAAGAGGTTGAGATCAAACTCTTTGAATCTTCAGAACATGGTAAGCTCGGACTTCAATAGAACGAAGTATTGGTGTAGGATCTACCTGCAGCGCTTCATAATTTTCAGGGTCATGTTCTTCAAGATTCCTTAACCAATCAGCATCATAACAGTCGATTGGAAGTCCTGGAGGAGCCTCCATCTGACTAAGAGTGCTTAAATCTCGGACTCATTCGGTAGGCCTGACTCCCGGTGTGCCTTTTGGGCTGTCGTCTTTTTCTTTAGCCTGGTGCACATCTAAACTCAATAGAAGAGTGTATAAAGATCTGCTACGCCATTCAAGCTTCTTGATTCAAAAGACCTTTTTCTGTGTTCCTGAAGGTTCCTCTTTGAGGTCAGTCTCATCGTCACTGCAGCACTGCTCAAAGATGTTGCATAATAGAGGCAATCCTGATCGAAGGGCGGTAGCTTTACGACGCGTCCTAAGCTAAAGAGTTTAAACATCTCAGATTCAGTAAGGAAACATATTCAAGATTTATCTTATACATAAAGTTTCACTTACACCTCCTACTCTTTGTTGTCAGACTATATGTTTCTTTGTAGCTTGAATTTAGGCCGCTGGCCATTCATTTCTTTCACAAACACTAAAGGCGACAAAAGAGACAATTAGTACACACATCGACTGGAATCTTGAATTATTCAAAAAACTCACATGCATTGTAAAGATTGTCTTGCATGTTTCTTGAGCGCTGACAAGACATTATCAAACTTTGCATCATCTGGTGTAATATTATCATATTGACCACATTTTACCAGTTGAATAAATATGGCAGCAGAAAGACACCATAAAAAAGAGTTACTTCGAGATGATACTGCCTCATCCCAAACCGGGCGGAATGATGAGACTCCCACACGGTTCATCATTTGCCACATGATGAGCAGCTCTTGAGGATTCGAAAATTCCCCGCCAGGACCTCCCTTGTATGGAAAACGAGGATCAGAGTTATTATCGACTTGAGGTGATATTTGATTCAGATTAACGCTAGATAGAATTTCGTGTTTTGTAGTGGACAGCTTCCACGATGACATCTGCGCTTGAGTTGCGCTTGCTGGTATCTCTTCGTTTTCTCATAGCCCCATCAATTTCCGTACGTGACTTCGTATGCGACCCTGTTTAATCACAATTCTCTGTCAGTATAACCTCACATCTGATATTCTCTGAATATAAGGGTGCGTTCACTCAAGGAACTTCTGACCAGAAATCACATTCTTTAAATTTTTTAATGCCAAAATGAAACATGCGCCACCAAATAAACACTTTAAATTTTGCCAAATGTGATTTCTCACCAGAAATTGCTTAAGTGAACGTGCCCTAAATAATTCTTACCAAGAATTCTGCGCTGGATTTCTTTTTACTCTTCTCTACCATTTTTTTATTTGAAGCTCCGGCAGAAGCTGTGTTCTGTTGTGCAAATAGCACGGCTAGGTCTTGCACCGCTTGACTCAAATGTTGCATCTGTTCTCGAAGATCTAAGGACTCTTCTTGATTTCCTTCTGCATTATTCAACTGTGTAATCTGAGAATCTAGAATTCTTCCAATTCTACTTGCAGGGCACCCTCTGGTTTGTCATTTCGGGTGTTGTCAATCAAGTCTTCTTCCATTGAACGGCTGGATTCAATTGGGTTGTGAGATGAAGCTGAGGAAGAAGATTTTTCTTGTTCGAAAGGCTCGTCATTCTCTTCTTCCAAACCTAAGTCTTCATCTTCTTGCGAATATTCATTGTCAGACATCTTCCAGTCGCTATCATTGTCATCATCGCAGTCAGGGATCAAATTTTTCCTAGTTCTCGAGACCGCCCAGTCTCTTGACAGGTTTGTTGGAGCCGGGCGAGGGAGAGCAGTACCTCTCTCCCGACTTGGAAAAGGATCCTCATTGCCGGAGGTTTGCTTTTGTTTGCCTTTTGAGACAGCCGACATGACCGGAGCAGGATTCGACCAGGATGCGCCATTGGGAAGATCTTCCATCTCCTCTTCACCTGTGCATAAAGAATCATACATTTTACATCAGTGAATCAACAGCAGATCTCCAATATGAAAAGACAAAAAGTAAAATTAGACTAACTTGTGACATCTCTTTCCGGACTTGAGAAAGAGGGTGCGTGTCTACGGCTCCGATCATGTGGTTGATCTGGAACAGAGTCGGATTGAACTTAGTCAGTAACTTCTACATATATACCATACATGATTTTAATCACGAGATCACCTTCTTCGCTGGATTCTCATATGTCTTCCTGGTCTAGGGATTCTTGAAACGCGCGGGTCAGCTGCTGGCGACTCTGTTCATTCGATGTTGTTGCCGCAGGTCTTGAAGGTGGAGGTTGGGTTGCTGAATCAAGATGGTATGATACAGTGAGATTTAGAGATTCAATCAATTCAATTATAAAGTAGGTAAAAGGAAAATTGAAGTTTTCACCCACAAGGAATTTCTGGATTGTACAGCAAACAGAGCTGCAACAGCTCGTCCTTTCTCATCAAGCCAATTCCCTTCACGCCAGATGGCTTCATTATGCTTCGCAGAGTCACAAGGTTGAGAGCTGAATACTTGTTGGGTGGAGGAAGTACAGAGAGCTGGGTGTTCTTTGAGCTTGAGCTTGAGTTCTTGTTTTTCTTCTGATTGGCTTGCGTTTTGCATGAATTATTCTGCTGTGTTTGATCTTTCCGCTTGCCTCGTTTTGGGTCGTCACTTATCTTTGTATTATCTCTGATGGTATGCGACAATAAACTGAAACCAGGGTTGACCTTTGCGCGGTTCTGGCCTGATGATCTAAAAGTGACGAGATCAGTAACAAGACCAAACTGGGGATCACTATGTTCCTCACATCAAGACTCACTTGGTTTGGTGGCCCCAGGAGAACCTTTGGTTCCTGCACTATCCGCTCGTGCTCTCTTTTGTCCTTGTGTTACTCGAGAAGGCGCAAAAACTGGGTTGGGTGGATCCATGAGTAAATAATTGATGAAAATATAAATATGAAGTGGGAATTTGTTGCTAGGAGCTTTGACAGATAAGAGTTGATGATTGGGATTGGGATTAGAATAACTTGAGAGGAAAAGAATAGCAAAACATGACAATCTGGCTTTATGTATACTCCAGCTCACGGAATAAGATACTTCCATTGATGAGCGCCCAACCCAACATCCTTTGAATGGGGTGTTCAGCATTTGGAATGGACATCCAGAGAAACGTCTGAAGATCATGATGGAGTGTGTGCTGAGGATGCTGATCAGTATTCAAAATGCGTTTTTGTGAAAGAAGAACCGGCCAACAGCTAACTTGTACTGAGCGTATGTAAAAACGTTCATACACCATCAGACACAACCTGCAGGTTGTGTAAAGTTACCCACGAACTTGAAACAAAGAATTCTCACTTGCTCAGCTGATCATCCTATTTACAATTACTCATTTCAATGCGCACACTCAAGAACACACATAAGATGTCCAGATCAAACGTCAATCAGCAAACTTTCCTATCAAGAATCATTCATAAAGAATAATCACCTATCAATCAAAACATCAATTGACAACACTTGAACGTCCTCACTCACCCTATAAATACCTAACCCAGCTCCTGATTATCAGACAATCTCCCCCAATCTTATCAACTCTGTGAAATGGAAAACCTCAAACCTCTTCTTCAAAGTGGAACCATCCGAGATCTACAATCGTATATGCTTGAACACTTTCCGTATGTTGTCCTACGAGATGATTTAAAATTAGCAGATTTAAAGACTTTAGCTAAAAAGTGGAACAAGATTGGTAAGTCAAGTATCGTATTGATGTCTGACTCTTATGTCATTTGTGAGCTAACATTATACGTTTATCTTTTTTGTGCTTTCTGATTTTGAAAAGCTCAAGCTTCTCCCAACCCTGCGCCAGTTACGCAGAAGTTGCGTGTTGCGTGGCGGGACGTTGCGGATAATTGGCCCCGTCATGTTACAAAATACCCCGCCTAATGTTGCGGTATGTACCGCTAAGTTACACAAAACTCAGATTCGGGGATTTTTTCAAACAGCTAAATATGTGTTAACGTTACGGTCCCACACCGTTAAGTAACGGTGTTGCGGCCCCGGGTTCTCATTTTAGCACTATTCCCAATTAGGCAAGAGTAGTAGTACAAACCTCCACCCTCATCCACATTAATCAACCTCGATCGATCAATACATTTCAAAAAAACCCAAAGGAGACGCCAGTATGCCTTGGCATGTTGTCAAACATGGCCACCAAGGGGGTGAACTGTTCACAGAACCCGAGTAAGTTTTCCTTACCTCCTTCCTAAGTTCTTGTTCTATCTTCCATCCGATTTTTCTCTACCCACCTACCTTTTATACTTACCTTTGTTAATCGAATCTTACCTAGCAATCTCACCTCCCACAGAATAATTCTCCTTCCTTACCCCATCGATTTTGATTTTACATCTTTTGCTCAATCGCTCAACAAACAAACAACTAGTTTCAAATTCTACCAAATCATCATGTCATCCGTAGCATCTGAGACTCCCTCCAGATCAAGACCCGTTCGTCACAGACAGCCAGCTATTCACCCAGGGATGGTTTCACCGGCTGTCGACTCTCGTCGACGATTGAGCGTCGATGATCAATCTCAACCTGCGCTGAACAAGACCAAGCGCAAAGACCGAAGCTACGATCCCAAACCTGAGAATGAATCTGATTCATCCATTGTCAGTATTCAATGTCAAGGACGGAAGAAGGACCCGAAGGCCACTGGATATCAATCAGAGGCCTCGATTACTGAACATCAAGGCAAGAAGAGCAAGAAAGGTACCGGCTCTCAATCAAAGAGTCAGCGTCGGTCTCAGGCTCGCAAGAAAACTGCATCTGCAGCTCCATCTGATGATGTGAGTAATTTCTTTTTGATTAATACTATATCCTCGGTGTGGAAGCACATTGAATCAATTCTGCCGCAGCTCATCTCAGCTAATGTGACAAGAGCCATGCTACGTGCCGATTCCGACGAGGAGCCATCCGGTGATCAACCTTGCAAGCGTCACAAGGCGGACGAGGCAGACGCCAAAGTGGAGCTAGCTCAACTGAGGGCTTACTACGATACTCCGTTTCATAGGCATGATGATGTACACTCATCAATTCCTGACATCATAACACTGACCATGCATATTGATGATTTCATGAATGGCAGGACAAGTCAATGGCTCCTTTGTCGTATGCCTGTCGATTCTGCAACAGAGACTCCAGCAAACCCGTACGAGTTAGTTTAAGCAACCTGACAGGGAATCTCCGCGCCCACCGTGACGGTTCTACTCAGAGTGGGCGATCTGACGTAGGGTGTCCTGGTCGAAACAAAGCCAAAAACTCAGCAGAAGGTAAGGAATTAAACATACCACCTTCGGTGGCAGAGGTTCGCCAGGCCAAGAAGCAGAAAACAGGAGGTCTCAGTGGATTTGTCACCATAACACCCGGAATCAAGTTCAATAATGTGACGTTTAACCAAATGGCTTGTCTATGGTTAATTTGACACGCCTTACCCTGGACCCGAGTTGAGGACCCTATACTACGATCTATGGTTAGGTACCTTCGCCAAGAGGCCAAGCTCTATGGCCGCAAGTGGGCTGCGTCCGAAGCGCGTCAAATCAATCAGTCTTTGAAAACAAACGTTTTCAAAGAACTGAAGGTAAGTTTTCCATTGCTTTATTGATCTTTAAGTTTCTGTACTGACCGGTTTCATTGTTGTTTAGAATCTTACTTTGCGTTTCAATCTGGTCCACGACGCCTGGACCAGCAAAGGAAATTGACATGGCTTTATCAGAGCGTCAGTCACCTTCATCGACCCCAAATGGCAGTACCATGTGCAACATGTAAGCTTGAAGGTGGTTGCCTGGCACCATCACGGGCCATGGCTCGCTGAACCTATTGTCAACCTTCTAGTGAAGCATGGTATCTATCAAAAGATATGTATTTATTTTTGTTCTATTATTTTGAATTCTTAATACTTTTTGATCATTTTATTTCGCTTGTCTGATGCTAATGTTTGTTTTTGTTTATGAATATTCACATTCTCTGCCAGACCACCGACTCGGGATCCAATAATAAAACGATGGCACAGGAAATGCATCGACAGTTCGCTTTGCAACCCCAGCTTGATGGTATTAAGTATAAATGGGATCCAGCCAATATGCATATTTTTTGCTTTTGTCATAAGCTTGCGCTGATCGTCAACGCAGGGCTTGCCGAGTTGGGCGTGAAGGCACCACCTCCCGCAAAAGTGAAGTCAGCAGCTCGTGGGCACTTCCCGTCCATCGGAACCATCGAAGAAGAGGAAGAAGATGTTGAAGAAAGCACCTCATGTGACGACGCAATCCCAGAACACGACATTGACGAATTGGAGGAAATCAACCCACCGGTTGAGGAAGATGACGCAGGAAACATCGACATTGAAGACAAAACTCAATGGGACATTGCTGACGCTGAAGATGAAGTGACACCAGCCGTGGTTTTGGAAGAGGAAGTGGCTCCGACGCACCGTTGAGAAGCAAATCATGTTGATTTTATATTGCGGAAGGTAATTATCTTTTTTTTTTCTATTTGTGCTTTGCATTGAACTTGAGAGTTACTTTGTTACAGGTTGACTTTATTGTACGCCGGATCACTCGGTCGTCGGCGTGGCGCAAGGAATTTGCACGAGTGAGTGCAAAAAAGGGATTCACAGGATCTTTAATTGCTGGCTACGGAATTAGATGGAATATTAAGTATGAAAGTAGGCACAAGGCTTGGCTTGCGCGATCGGTGAGTATTTCATTTTTATCTTGCTTTATCTTTAAAGCTCTGATCATTGTCAATCTACCTGGACAGGTCATCGATCAGTTGTGTAAAGAAGATGTTGACCAAGTGCTTGCGGTGGGTCGCCGCCCACGCAAGAACGGGAAGCCGTATGGATATTTCCATCAACTGGAAATTACTACGGCTGAGTGGGCTCAAGTTCGATGTATCAACGTTGAACTGGAGGTATGTAATCGAAGCTATTGGTGTAATTGCATCAGTTTCTGACTTTTTTTTTATGCATCTTGTGGTATAGATATTTCTTACCACCACCCTCAAGATGGAAGGCGACGGGCCTACCGGGTGTATGGTAATTCCAGAATACGTCGAGCTTTGACATAAATTACAAGAAAAAGTGGATAAATTGACTACCACCGACGCCATATACCCGATGTTGGCAAAAATGTTGGAAAAAACACAATATTACCTTGACGAAGCACTCGGATGCGAAACATTGGTAATGGCGACACTACTTCATCCTCTATTTCGTCACAAGTTCTTTGTGAAGTGGTTTGGTGGGAAATTTGGAGAGGTTCCCATCAAAGCCGAATCTACATTCCGTCGACTCTACTCCGATTACAAAGCTACGTTGCCTCGCCAAAGAACTGCGGCGAACTCGACTGGTTCTAGTTCCAATCCATCTGCAGGCCAACCCAAGATGTTCCATGACGATTCCGGAAGTGATGAAGAGCCCGCAGAGACCATTGACAATTCTGTTGACAATTACTTACGCATGTCAGACAAGATGCGTAGTACTGAATACAACTTGTCAGACCCAAAAGCAGCTTTAACATGGTGGTCGGTAAGTAGAATATGTTATCTAACATCATGAACATATGCTAACTTCTTTACATGCCTCTGTAGCGTCATGAAAAGGACTATCGAGTTCTTGCAAACATGGCACGCGACTACTTGGCCACCACGGGTTCATCATGTGCGGCAGAACGAATCTTCTCATGCGCCGCCGATGTTTGTGCCAGTGATCAAGGGAGTCTATTGGCACGTACCATAGAAGCTCTTGTCTCAAGTCGTTTATGGCTAAGGGAGGGTGTGGGTTTGGGAGTAGATTTTCAGAACTCGCAGGCATTTTGAAAACTTTAGGCGTGGCTCTTGACTAATCCCCTGGTAACTCTTCCAATCAATACTTAACTTAACCTTTTCTATCTCCTTTTCACGTACACTCGTTTAGTCTCTTTCTCTACTTTTCACTACACTCGTTTAGTTTCTTCATTATAAATTTTTATTGTTACACGTGTGCTCGGGATTCATAAAAATCATGAAATGCTTATTTGCGGCTGCGGCCTATTGTCCTTTTTGGCGCTGTAGCGTTGTTGCGTTACTGCTAGTTAACGGGCGATAACGTGAGCAACAATTAACACTGTAGCGCTTGTAGCGCTGCTGCTGCTTTGCTGAGTGGAGCTGAGCTACCACGGACTGCAATTTCCTGTTGCGGTCCTTCGCGTTACGTTGAAAATGTAACGCTCTTCAGTTGCTTGTGACGGAGTAACGTTAAAAAAAAGGGTCAGTTAGCGCTACGTTGCGTAACTGGCGCAGGGTTGCTTCTCCAGCATACAACAAACGCAAATCTGATTCACCAATTGAAAGCAAGACTGAAGGCACTTCTGGCGCAATGGACGCCATCACATCCAATACGAGTTTGGTTCCACCAGCTTCAAAAAGACAAAAACCAACTCCTTGGTCACGCCACACCAAAAAAAAGTCCGTTTGATTCCAAGACGTTGGTCAAGTCTCAAAAGTAAATAAATCAGCAGCTCAGAGACGATGGAAAAAACCAAGTAGGGAATTTTAATTCGACTTTCATTTGTACATACATAGTTTGGTCAAAATTGATTTCTTGAACTTTCTTTTAACCCAACCTGAAAACTGACCACTGTATAGGAACCGCCCAATCGAACACTACCAAGCTGATTGATACTGAAATCAATGAAGTTCAGCCGACAAGCACCTTTCCAGCCGAGACCTCTCAGAAGCCTTACAACCGCACTCGCGGAAAATTGAATCAAAAAACCAAACCACCCAGTTCATCTACCAATGTCACACCACATCAGCTTGTAGTCAATCCAACAACATCACACAAGCAAACCATTATGTACAGTTCCTCTTTGACGGCGCTTTCCAACAATGAAGATTGTCTCAGGTCTCTTTTCAAAACCAGCTCTCCAGAATCACCACCTTTTAGGCACAAATACTTATCAGAATCCACTCTGGCAGATCTAGGCGAGTTAGAAGGCATAGTTTTTGAGCCTCAACCAGAACCTTCCTTCATCAACAAATCCACTCCATATGCAAGTTTCCCGTCAAATTCAACTAATGCACATCGTGAAGTCACGGATGACAAGATAAATCTCATTTACCTAGGAGGGGACGATCTTGTCCAGGCTCAGGATATAGAGGAAGCCAATTGTGAGTTATTACTGTTTACAATTCATGCGAGCTGTTTGCTGAAATTTGTTTGTGTAACACAATATTGTAGTTCCAGTTCCGCAGTTATCAAATAAGAAGGGCTCATGCAAATGTGGATGTCATGAGGAGATGTTAGTTTTGAAGGAACGGATTCAAAAATCGGAGGATCTAGTTTTTCCAGAATTTTGCGCTATTCCCCCCTGCTGTGCTGCCATCATCTCAGAGTTGCCCTAGTTCTCACCTGGTTTGGCTAGTGTCTTGATTTTTAATTCTTGATTTTCTTGTTGTCCTTGTAACTAGTGGTATAATGATGTTTTTTAAATCATTTGATTGTTGTTCTGCTGTATGATGATTTTTCAAAAAATTTCTCTCTTCTTACCATACAACAAATACAAAAAGTAAAGTCTTTTTTTTGAGAGATTTTTTGTTCCAAGCTTGACTGCTCTTAGACAGATGATGATAGCATGTCAGTTTGAGAAACCAGGAGTATATATGCACACCCATGGCCCCAAATTCAACAAAGAGGAAATGGATCAATAGATATTCATGGGATGTAATGAAAATTTTCAAAACCATTTAATTGAACATGCAAATTGATTAATTTTCCCAAGGGAATATGGCCTAAATTTTCATGTGTGATCGTCTACCCTTCGTATAAAGAGCCCAGCTTTAACAGAGCGATATTCAGGAGTGTTGGCTATGTAGGCTTGTAACTTAGGTGACCACTCGTCATTGCTATGAGCCTCAGGCTTACTCAGGATACGCTGGTATCTAGGTGAGAAGTTGTGATCTTTTGCGTGTTTAGATCGAGCTTTCTGAAGCTGAATCAAAAATCAAAGTATCATTAGTTCAAATCCTCAACAAAAAGGAAGAACATAAAAAACAAAAAGATGATGCTCACTCTTTTTCTACGTGCCAAAGCATTTCTCCTCTCTTCAGTTGCCTGATTGATACCTTCCTCTTTCACTTCTCGTCTGTACTTCTGACCATACCAATAATGTACATAGTGATTATAAGTCTTTTTGAGTAAAAGTAACTTGTTGACGAATGTCTTGTTGATGTTCATGTAAGCAAACGCCTTGGCAGCAACCCACTGGCGGAAGATTCAAATTGCGCTGATTTGACAAGCTTTGTTCCATAGAGTGTCTTCAGCGCTGTCAAGATCCGGCTTCCATTCACGTATTCCAATCTTCGCAAACATTTCTTTAGCGTACAGTACAAAAAACTCTTTGATGTTGACGATACTTCCGCCAACATTCACACGATGAGCAGAAGGGAATTGGACGTCGTTTTGATTAATGATATCGTTGGCTGTTGTACTATCTATTACTCCTTCAATTTTGGCTGTTGATGAATTTGAAAATCTAGAGTTGAATTCCAGGAGGAGCTCGGGCTTTGGTGGCTTTGGGACCACTGATGCCAATGTCAAACCCCAGATAATCCAAATGAACACGTAAAAAAAAAATTCTAAAAAAATCACAGTGTGTCATGTTAGTGTTGTTTTGTAATCAAACCACAAGAATCAAAGCCTACCTTTGTTGCGTCGAAACCTTCAGGCCATTCTGATGATTGCATCTGGCCTGGATGTCGTTTTGGCAATGGTTTTGGTGGCCCAGTTGATTTGACACGTTGTGGAAAGCAATTCCTATGATCACGTCTTAATCTCATATCATTTTTTTTATTATTACATTAGATCAACTCACAACAGAAAAAAGAAAAGATCCATAAATCACACTCTTCAATTTTTATCAAGGCATGTGGACTCAAGACAAATAATCAAAATCATCATTTCAATTCAAATTATCACTATATGGATCTTGTTATTCTCAATGAACATCAATCTTACATTCAAAATGGTATATTTTATACAGACATAGAAGTTCAAATAAAAACAATACATACAAAAAAGATAAATAAATGAGATACATACATACCTTGGAAAAAAAAAGAGGGTCAAAAATTGAAAATGTCAACATTGATGTTACACAAATAAGATTAGAATTGATGAATCAAGAATGAAAACTCACCTAGTAGATTAATCAATCCCCAAACAGTTGATCTACAAGAAAGAAGTCAAGAATTGAAATTGGAATCTATGCAGCTATGAACTAACATTAAAGCAAGTCAGGAGAAAGTGGAGAAGTCAGTTTAAATGATGCAACAGAATAGAAGGAACAAAAAACTTACCTAAATGATCAAGAAGTCGAAATTAAAATTGAAGTCAAGAGAGTTGAAAATTGATTAAGAAGGCCTACAATCAAATTTAAATGAATTAATCTTAAACAATTGATGCAAAGTTCAAAATCGAATGACAGACAAATAAAGAAACAATATAACTTGTCATTATTGTGTAAGAGAGTGGAGAAAAATGTTAAGAACAGACCTCAAAATCAAAATCTAGATAGACAAAGATGAAAGAGAAAGTAACAAAAGACTTACAAGATAGATCAGAGCTCAAGATCGAAATTGAATTGAATGTTTATGAAGATTGTAGTTGAAACAGGCTGAGATCGAAATGGAGTTGGTGTAGTTAGAGACTGAATTGATTGATATTGAAGTGAAGGTGGTTAGAGTTGAGTAGTGATCGAGATAGAGGGGTCCTATGGAAGCTTTTGTTTCAACTTATCAAATAGATACCTAGAAGCGAAATGAAAAGGGAATCAAAATTTTAAACAAAGAAGATAAAGTTAGTAAACAAGAACAAACAAAGATAAAGAAATGAAAGAACTTACTTAAATGAAGATCAAGATCAAAGGTCAGAATCGAAACTGAATCCATCAATCTATTCATCAGATACAATAAGAATAGAAAAAAAAAGGAAACAGAATAGACATTCGATTTTGAGGTCTGAAGTTAAAACTAATGAAAAACTTAATAGAAGGATCGATTTTGAGGGTTTAAATTGAGATAGAGAAAGAGGGTGGTGTCAGTGTTGTGCAAGATGAATAGTAGAAAGAAAGTTAAGAGAGAAAAGACTTACATATTTATCAAGATCTAAATCAAAGATCAGAATCGAAATTGAAACTAAATAGGAATTCGATTTTGAGGTCCAAAGTTAAAACTAATGAAAACAAAGAAAGGAGGTAAAGGAGTCAGTATGAGAACAAACAAAGAAGTGAATGGGAAAAGAAACTTACTTAAATGATGTCAAAATCAAAATCTAAATACATAAAGTCAAGGATGGGATAGTGTAGAAGGAGAGAAAAGAAATTGAACTTACATTGTAAATCGATGGTGTGAAGATCGAGCTGGAGCTTGAGGATGAAGTGCGATCGAGAGGTCCTGAAAATCGAAATCTAAACAACTAGAGAGAAGAGATGAGTGAAAGAAAGAAAAAAAAAGGGAGTCAACACAGATCATGAACAAGTTAATAAAAGGATGAGCAGTAAAAAACAGGGTACTTAGCTGTTTTGAAATAAAACTAAATCGAAAATCAAAGTGAATCTGGTGATGTCGTGATTTGAACATAGAGGCCCGATCGGAGATGAAGTCGAAATTGGAAAGGGAGGAGGGAGTGATCAGGAGGTTTTTTCTTAAATGTATCGGTCTCGTTTTTTTTGTCTAGTTTGTGTAGGAATCTGTGGTATTGTTTTTCTTTTTTTGTGATCCATCCAAGGGATCATCAAGTGTTCTTTTCGTGTGATTCGCGTATTAGTGTGGATCAAAGAGTGTTCTAGTGTTAGTTGTTAAAGTGTTCTGATTGTTGTTATCGGCTTCGTGTCCGTGTCTAAGTGTTTTAATCGTGTGTTCAAGTGTTCTTGACATCATATAAGGTTTTTTTTAGAGTGTTCCATCAAAGAATCAGAATATCATCGTTAGTTAGTGTGTCCGATTAAAATCAAGTTTGTTAGGATTTTTTTTATCTCATTGAAAGAAAAAGAAAGATAGATAATAAAACAAACCTTTATCGTAGTTTAGATCATCGTTTGTAGTGGTTGATCTTGAAGAATTGTAGTGTTGTTGTTTTATTTTTTTTCTTTTATTGTAGTTTTGCTGAGCTGAGTCGTGAAACAGTTGTCAGTTGGTTGGATTCAAGCTCAGGGCCGGGTTTTTTTTATCAGGGCTTTCCATATATCATTTTTTATCATTAATTTTTTACTCATAGCAAGAATTACATTAAACTCAAAATCTACATATCTTTGCTTCAACATCTAGTATATCTTTGTGTAGGGTATTGTTGGATTCCGCCAGATCTTGCGGTTTTTTTTAGAAATATCAGAATAGTGTTACGTGTTAGACTTGTGAAGGTAGAAAGTTGTTAGAGAGTTGCTTCCTTGCTTTTTTTATTTTTGAACTGTTATTTCAAGGTTGAGGGCAGTCTACGACAATCATAGTTTCACCCGCATCTTGTTATTCTTTCTGCGGTGATTCTTCCCCTCTCCGGCTCAGCCTACGCCACACAGCGTAGGAGTTCTACATCTGGTGACTCCACTGGGGCTCTTTTTTCAAAACAACTTTTGTGTCTTTGCAGGTGCTCTTCCTCAAAAGTAGTTTCTCAAACTCAAGATATCAATTTCAATTTTCAAACTCATCTTATCATCAATTTAAAATTACTATTCATTCCGCAAATCATTATATCTCAAATCTCAAATCTCAAAGTCATCAGATCATATCTCAGAACTACGCGCTGAAATTTATTCAATCCTCAAACAATCATATATCTCATTTAAAATTTAACTACTCAAATTTTATTTCACATTCAGTGATTCAAATCAAATTATTGGATCAGAAGTAAAATTATCATCTCAATATTATCTATCCGCAAATCATCAAATTGTTTGTTTGTTTAAGTTCACATCAATTCATCTTTAGAAATTTACAGCAAACCATCAAACCAGATTCCCATCAACTGATCCTTGCGGTCACCATTATCACAATTCTTTACTTTGCATATTTTAAGCTCATCATAACTCAAATTTCATCATACCGGAGTTTTCAAAATCTTGTTATTCATATTTCAGATCTTAAATTACTTCAACATCTCAACTTCTGCGCGGATACAAACCTGAAGTGGTGGTTATCAAAATTATTTACATCAATTATTCAGACATTCAACAATCAAACTTGCAAACTCTTGTAGTCCAAATTCTTACTTAGAAATCAGAATCATCAATACTACAATTCTAAATTTCATTGAATCTCTTATCTGATCATGTCATCTCAAAAGGAACTTCCACCGGCAGCGGCTTCAAAACAACCTGCAACGGAACCTGCTGTGTCTGGATCTGGTATTAAAGGTGGGAATGTTATTGGTCAAGAAGAACGTAAGTTATACAGGGAAAAGGAAGAAAGTGGTGATGATTCAGGGGATAATGTTACGGAAAAGGGTTTAGAAGGAATGTTTAAGGAGGAAATTGTTTCAGTGGACGATGTAGAAGGAATGATGAAGGATGGTGGAATTTCAGTTAAGGAAGCAGAGGAGTATTTAGAGGAGGCTCGTGTACAGGCGGAGAAGATGGAAAGGTTGTTGAAAGCGTTGAAGGAGGCAAAAGTTAAGGCGGACAAAAGGCAGGGGAAAGGAAGGAAGAAAGTTTACAGTAGTGATGGTAGTTCAAGTTCAGATGATGAAAGTGATGTTGAAATCAAGAAGAAGAAGAAGAACAAGAAGAAGGTTGTAAAGATTGAACCTCAAGATTCAGAATTACGATTTAGACGCGGGGAGGATATTCAAAAGTTTTTACGGGATTTTGAGGTTGCTGCGCAAGTAGATGGTGCTAGTGGTATTGATATGGCAATGCAGGTGTGCGCATTTGTAGATGGAAAGGATTTAAAGGAAGAAATTAAGGAACTTGATGGTTGGGGTGAAGGAGAATGGAATTGGAAAATTTTAAAGGTGGAGATGAAGGACCGGTATGTGTCAATACGTGAGGCACCTAGGTATACAATTGAAGATTTGAAGGAATTGGTGTTGGAGTACGAAAGAAATGGTGGTATTGATTCAAAATTGGAGTTTGAATGTTTTCGTCACAAGTTTGAAAGCATCTTAGTTTATTTGAAGAAAAATGATTATATTGATTCTGAAGATGAGGTTTGTACGTATTACTATAGAGCTTTTTCAGATAATATGCAGAAGAAGATCAAGGAAAACTTAAGGGATGAAGAGGAATTAAGGGTTACAAAGGATGGAAGACATAGATTACCGGGCTGGAAAGTGTTAAAGAAGTCAATTGAGAAGGTATTGCGGGCGGAAGTTGAATTGGTATTTGAAGAATTACGCGGAAAGAAAGAAGTTGAGATGAAGAAGGATGATGAGCTTAAGAAGAAGGTGGTACAGAAGGATATGGAAAGAAGAGGTTTAAAGATGGAAGGATTGAACAAGAAGATTGGTGGAAAGTCAGGGGATGAAGCTACTATTAATGAATTAGTTAGGCAGTTTGCGGCATGGAGCAGTCAAGGAATTAATCGACCTTTGGCTGGAAATCAGAATATTCAAAATCATTCTAGTTTTCAGAATAAAGCATTTACCGGACAGCAACAGAACCTTGGTCCG